TTTTGTGTCGACCCATGGCCTGTTATTATTTCTTGTACTTTCGAGTTTTGAATAAAGTTGGAAGGATTCTACTTCCGATTTGGTTTCCCACAATGTGTGCAAGTTTAAGTGTACTTAAACTCCCTCAAGGTGATCTTGGAATCGGCATGGGCCCAACTGACTAGCCATAGAGGATTGATAACCTTAGGGTATTGTTGGAATTCGCATGGATTCTATTGATCTCTCCTAGAGGATTAGTAACTTCTGGGTGATGTTGGGATTGGCATAGATCCAATTGGCTGCCCTAGAGGATTGGTAACCTCGGGGTAGTGTTGCGATCGGCATGAATCCTATTGATTGCCCCCAGAGGATTGGTAACCTCTGGGTAATATTGAGATCAGCATGGATCCAATTGACTACCCCCAGAGAATTGGTAACCTTGGGGTAGTGTTGCGATTTGTGTGGATCCTATTAATTGCCCCTAGAGGATTGGTAACCTTTGGGTGATGTTGGGATCGGCATGGATTTAATTGACTACCCCTAGAGGATTGGTAACCTTGGGGTAGTGTTGCAATCAGCATGGATCCTATTGATTGCCCCTAGAGGATCGGTAACCTCCGGGTGATGTTGGGATCGGCATGTATCCAATTGATTGCCCCCAGAGGATTGGTAATAGTGTTGCGATCGGCATGGACCCCAGTAATAAGTTTAAACACAACTGAGTTTACAAAAAATTTAAGCTAAATGCATGAATCGGCATTTGAATGGGAAGTGCCGATTTTATTTAATAAATATAAGTGGAATGATGAACAAGTAGATTAATTTTTTTTTTCAGGTGAGTTGCATTCCAAGGGCGTGGCATATACTGACTAGTCTCAACCCGTCTCAGGTTGTAAGCGCCTTTTCCGTATGCTTCGGTGACCACGAACGGTCCTTCCCATGAGCGACCAAACTTGCCTGCGTTTAGATCTTTGGAGTTTTCCATTACTTTCTTGAGGACCCACTCACCAACTTTGAACCTTCTTGGGGGGATCCACTTGTTAAAGTAATTAGCAACTTGGTTTTGATAGTTTGCTAGTCTTAATGTTGCAACCTCTCGATGTTCCTCAATAAAATCTAGGTTGCGAGCAATTTGTTAGTCGTTATCCCCACCATCCACCACCATCGTTCGGATTGTGGGCAGTCTGATCTCAGTTGGGATAACGGCTTCGCTTCCGTAGGCTAAGGAAAAAGGACTTTCCCCCGTTGGCTTTTGTTTTGTGGTTCGGTACGCCCATAACACATTTGGGAGTTTCTCGAACCATTTACCCTTGCGTTGCTCAAGTTTCTTCTTAAGGCAATCGAATATGGTTCGGTTTGTTTTTTCCGCTTGTCTGTTTCCTTGGGGATAGCTGTGGGACGAGAACTGTTGAATGATCCCTTTCTCCATGCAATATTTCCTGAACTTTCGATTGTTGAATTGAGTCCCATTATTTGAAATGATGGCTCTAGGTATCCCAAACCTGCAAATGATGTTGCACCAGACGAACTTTATCACATCAGTTTGGGCTACTGTCCCATATGCTTCAACCTCCACCCACTTGGTAAAGTAATTTGTGGCCAAGAGAACATATTTTTTGCCCTCAAGCGCAGTTGGTAATGGTCCTACGATATCCATCCCCCATCGGGCGAATGGGCGTGTTCCTATGATCAAACTAAGTTCTTCTGTAGGTCGCCTAATTATAGGCGCATGTTTCTGGCCCTTATCACATTGCTCGGCCTCTCGAGCCATGTAAGACCAAAAGTAGCCTTGCGTTATCGCCTTGTGTGCCAAGCTCCTCCCTCCAGAATGATTGCCACAAGTTCCCTCGTGTAGTTTTTTCAGGGTCCACTCTGCTTCGGATGGGTTTAGGCAGTGTAGATAAGGACCTAAAAAAGACTTCCTAAAGAGGACGTTTTCTATAAGTGCGTACCTGGAAGCTTTCATCCAACGTTTTCTCGCTTCAACTGGATCTGCAGGTTGTGTTCCTACCATTAGGTAATTTTCTATTAGCGTCATCCACGTCACCTCTTAGTCAACTTGCATAACCCAAGGTTCAGCAACATCTAGATTGGGGCTTTCCAAACGTTATATAGATATGACCCTTGTTGAATCCTCTCCTAAAGCTGAGGCCGATGCCGCACATGCCAACCAGTCCGCCCGTTCATTCAACTCTCTTGGAATATGCTTCAGTTCGAACTTCTTAAATTGTTGAGACAGACGCTTTGACAGTTGTTGATACGTGATCGGTGCATAATTACATATCATTTTGTACCCTTTTAACTTATGATTTGGTTATGTTTTTGAGTTAAACTTGTGCTTTTAATAAGTTTTGTGTTTGTTTCAGTGTAATAAGCTTGAGACTCACTAATTGCATTTTGGAGACAAGTTAGCTCAAAATGGTGTCTGCAGATCAGTCAACTTCACGGATTAGACTGTACTTACTCAAGAAGAAACAGATGATGAGCCATGCATCATTGGAAAGATACGGAAGTCTAGTTTTTGTATAATTTTACGGTTCATGATTCCGAGTCTTCTAGAGAAAGTTATACATGTTTTGGCAACTTAAGGTCAAATTCGGCAGCATCTGCGTTACTGGGCCAAAAATCACATTTGAAGGGCTTTCCGATTTTTCCTTGAGCTGGGCTGCATATGCTTGGAAAGATAAGACAAAGAGCTTCAAGATCCATATTTTTCCAGATTTTTCAGA